CCACTACTACTACTACTACTACTACTACTACTACTACTACTACTACTACTACTACTACTACTACTACTACTACCTCTACTACTACTACTACCACTACACGACTAACTCTAATAAATGCTATCACTACTACTACTACTACAATCTATACTACTCTACTATACTACTACTCCACTAGTATTACTACATACGACTTACTACTAATACTACTTTTGTGTACTCACATCTTACTACTATATACTACTACTTTACTTATACTTACTAATACTACCACTACTACTACTATGCTATTGTTGCTTACGTTTACTACACTAACACTACTACTACTACTACTACTACGTATTACTAACTAACTACTACCTAAATACTACTACTTACTACACTATACTACGGACTTACTACACTGCCTATTTCTTTAAAGTATTGCAACTACTCGTGCTACTACTACTCGCTTCTCGTCAGTTCCGTTCCTCCTCTTCTCTCCCTCCACTCATCCCACAGGCTCCCCCCCCACAGTCTACATCCCCAGGTTATTATCAACAAAAAAGCCAACCATAAGTTTTTTCTATACACGCGCATCGCTTCCACATTGTCATCCTGTGGTGTTGGGTCCTCGTTTTGAATAGACAGCGCCCCCACCAAAGGCCCCAGTGGTTGCGTTCACCTGCGTCCCGCGCCCATTTCGGCACACCCCTCAAACGGTCCGTGGCCCCACAGGGAGTGTGACCGAAGGCCCCAGTGATTGCGTGCACACGCGTCCCGCTCCGATGTCGGCACACCCTTCACACGTTGCGTGGCCCCATACTTGGCTCCAGCAAGAGTTTTTTTGGAAGCTCGCAGCAAGAAGTACAGGTGTGCACGCCCATCGGCGAGATGAGTTGTCGCGCGCGCGTGCTGAGCGCTCGCGCGCGCGAGATCCCAAGGCGCCTCCATGGCCGCAAAATGGTTCGAGGAGGTCCTGAGGCCAACGGCGATAACGTTAAGCCCACCCTGGGACGACGCCACCCCAAGACGATCCCGCCATGGATTCTGGACCGTCTCAGGCCGACCCGAAGATGACCACACAATGGAGCCACGAATGTCGCCGAGATGGCCCGATGGCAACAAGATGGATCCACGCGCGCCCGGGGTGGCCCCAGAATGGACACGCGACGGGTGCGCGATCCAAGCATGACCGATATATGGTACCAAGACGACCTCACAACGATCCTGACACGCCAAGACGGAATCCGTGAACGACCCCGGATGTTTGTTCCCCCTATTTTATAGGGTGGGATTTTAGCTTGGTTGAATTTCCAAGTATAATATTTCAAATGGAGTAAGTTAGGCGGGAGCCCGCCCAGCCCACAGCAGGATACTACACTGGCAGGCTTCTACGGGCGGAGGGGGGCTCGGACGGCGCGTAATCATTTTCGCTGTCTTCCGCAAGCCTTCCGACGGCCTTCCGCCGTTTCCCGCCTCGGTTTACTTCCGCCGGCTTCCGCGAGAGAACGATGTGATGGAAATTCAATGTTTTTCATTGTGCCGATGTAGGGAGCTCCACCAGAGGCCCCAGTGGCTGCGTCCACGTGCGTCCGGCATCCATGTCGGCACACCCCTCACACGTTTCGTGGCCCCATAGGGAGCCCCACCGAAGGCCCCAGTGATTGCGTCCACACGCGCACCGCGCCCATGTCGGCACACCCCTCACACGTTTCGTGGCCCCATAGGCATCCCCACCGAAGGCCCCAGTGATTGCGTCCACACGCGCGCCGCGCCCATGTCGGCACACCCCTCACACGTTTCGTGGCCCTGTAGGAAGCTTCCCCGAAGGCCGCAGTGGCTGCGTCCACGTGCGTCCCGCACCCATTTCGGCACACCCCTCACACGTTTCGTGGCCCCATAGGCATCCCCACCGAAGGCCCCAGTGATTGCGTCCACACGCGTCCCGCGCCCATGTCGGCACACCCCTCACACGCTTCGTGGCCCCATAGGGAGCTTCTCGGAAGGCCCCAGTGGTTGCGTCCACGTGTGTCCCTCTCCTTTCTTTCGGCACACCCCTCCTACGGTCCGCCGCCACTTGGGAGCCCCACCGAAGGCCCTAACGGCTGCGTCCACATGCGCCCCGCGCCCATTTATCGGTACACCTCTCACACGTTCCATGGCCCCATAGGGAGCTCCACCGAAAGCCCCAGTGATTGCGTCCAAGCGCGTCCCGCGCCCACTGGCCCCAGTGGTTGCGTTGGTTCTTGTACGGTCCCTGCGCCTGCCGAAGGCCGCCGAAGCCCAAGGGGGCGCAGAATTTCCCATCCTGATTTGTGTTCACGGCGCGAGCATGCACGGGTTCGTGTCCTCGTCCTTCCCGTCATTTAGGAGGGGGAAAACACACAGACACAATGAATCGTCTATCCCCAGGAAAAATGTGGGAAACTATGGGACATGGGGGGGTGGAAGACGACAACCCAGAAAATATTTGGAACATGTAGGGAATTCTGGGGTATGTGTGTATCTACTTGTGTGCCCTTGGGCCCCTTCGTCACGAAGGCACTGGCCGACCCACGGGGCTTGCCATTCATGAGAGAGGGGCCTCCCGCAAGGCGGCTGCCAGGCCACTCGCGCTGGGCCCGTCGTTTTGGGGGGGGGCCCGGCGCCGTCGGCTTCTGCCAGTCTTAAGTCGGGCGTGTCCCTCTGCAAGAGGAAGATTCAAACATCGTCAACAATGTTGCCATTTTCGATGATTTTTCAATTTGGTTGATTTGTGTTTCGCCTTGAATCCCCCTGCATGATGCCCGACCTAATCCCAGGCCCCTGTCGCCACCGCTGGAACTTTAAGGGCAACTCTATTCTGGGTGGGTGATTTATCAGGGAGAGATTAATCTTCTGACTGAGCCTGCCCAACCCCACCCCCCTCCATCCTCCTCCCCCTCCTGGTCCTCCTCCTCTTCCTCCAATCCCCCCTCCCCCCGTTTCGACAGCACGTGCCCAACCCCCCTAGCGGATCCGAAGGGGGGGGGGGCGGTGCGATTATTGCCCCATCCAGGATATGGAGGGGGAAAAGGCTCAGGGGAGACGCATCGACCCCCAATCGCCCACTGATCGCAGATAGGGGCCTGATAGCCCACCCGGCCCGCCCAGGGGCATGCGGGTTCGCCATCGGGGGCCGTTCGCCCACATGCCATCGGCGACGTAGCGTCGATGCCAGCTGGATGTTTCCCCCCCCCCTTTCCCTTTGAGCCGATCCCCCGGATTTTTGCCCCTCGGAGCTGCAGCATCCGATGTGCCTGCTCGGACCAGATCCCTCTGCCTTCTGCGCCTCCTGCCCCCCCGACCCCATCGTCTCGACGCAACCCTCCCGAGCCCGGGCCCCGAGCCCCCACCCATGGCAGGAGAGAGTGCGAGTGCGGCCCTGCCGTAGGGCCGCCTCCCAGAAGCCCTGGCGTCGGTGTCCGCAGACAGGGCTGGACCTAACGCTGTTTTGCTGGACTTCGGCTGTGCGTTATTTTCCGTTTTGGCAGGGAGGAAGAGCAAAACGAAAAACAGCACGAACACAACACGAGCAACAAACGTTTAGGTCCAGGCCTGGTCGTCGGTGGCACAGCTCCTCGTGTGATGGTCGCAGTGGTGGTCTCTGGGCCTCCTGGGTTGGGTCTGGGCAGAGGGACTCCGAGCCGCATTGTTGATACATCGGCGATGTTGTTCGATGTGGAGTCCGATTTCCTCTACGCCGGCGTCGCCGATGCATCGCCAACGTCGCTTGTGCATCGCCGATGCGGCGCCCGACACCACCTGCTCGGACCCCATCTAGGAGGTCTATATGGTTTATGGTCGTGGTGGAATTTGGGCCAGGCCCGTTGGAGCCTGGTGGCTCTGTTTCACCGAAAGGAGATGAGTCAGGTGTGGAAAGTAGACCGGCACAAGAAGAGTCGCCCACAAGAGAAGTATGAGGAATTACAGTACGTGAACGGAACAACGAACGCCCATCATTTGTGTGAAGACATTGGGAGTGGTGGTCTTCATGCGAGTCTTTGTTTGCGTGTCCTCGCCTGAGCCTCTTCAGTGAGAGGAGGCTCCGATGCCCCTCGCGGCCGTCCCTGGGCCAGCAGGGAAGGGATCCTCCTCCTCCTCCTCCTCCTCCTCCTCCGACGGCTTCACCTGCCCAGGGACGAGCAGGTGGGAGCCGTTGGGGACGGGGTGCCCCCGTTGTTCCCACGGCCGCCCACGAGGAGCCGCGAGGAGGTGAGGATGGGCTGACGACGGTGCCCCTCTGCTCCCCTCCTGCCCCTCCTCCCTCCTCCTCCTCCTCCTCCTCCTCCTCCTCCTCCTCCTCCTCCTCCTCCTCCTCCTCCTCCTCCTCCTCCTCCTCCTCCTCCTCCTCCCTCCTTTTATGCTAAGCGAAGGCTATAATTCATGTGATCCCTCCCTCCCTCCTGCTTCGTCCTCCTCCTCCTCCTCCCTCCTGCTCCTGCTCCTCCTCCAACTGCTCCTGCACCTGCTCCTGGTCCTGGTCCTGCTCCTCTTCCTCCTCTTCCTCTTCCTCCCCCTCCTCTTCGTCCTCCTCCTCCTCATCCTCCCCGTCACCCTTCCTCTGTCATCCTCCTCCTCCCTCTTCCCCCAATTTCTTCCTCGGGAAGTTGCGCGCAAGGCGAGGACCGAGCGCCACGTCTTGACGCGCGGCGACGGCGCAGTGTCGCCATGTCTGCTCTTACGACTCCCTCGTAGTTTTAAGGTCGACCGATGTGGAGCATGCCGAGCTGATCAGATTTCACGGCAGATGTGGCGTACGGTACGCGGAGAAGGGTGGGAGGCAGAGGATTCGGGAGCGGAAAAGAGGGGGGTGATGATTGGGGGGGGGGTTCATGGCACGGGCCATGATTTTTCCCCAGATCTCATGGCGCCTCTTCTTATTTCATTACGTCCCAGGCCCCCCCGCTGGGCCGCGCACATGCCGCCGGTCATGATTTGCACCCCCCCCTCTTGGACACCACCCTCTTGGCCGATCCCGAAGGATGAGGTATGCCATGCGTAGTCTCTTGGGCTCGAGCACTGTGCTCGTTCCGATCGGCCGGGGTTCTGCAGCACTCGGACTGCTCTCTCGTTGCGTCGGCGGCCAGGCAGCACGCACAAGCTTGCGGCACCATGCGGCCCGTCGGAGACTATACCATGAAGCTCGTTGGCGCAGCGGTGCTGTTTTTCCAGAGCGCTGCACATAGCATTCCAGACGCTGTTATTGAATTGCTTCGCGCATTCCGCTGGCCCGAAGTATGTCGTCGTCGTTGTTTGTCCGCATGCCCATGGGGGGCCGAGGAGTTGTTGGGTAGTGGCATTCCCCCAAGCTGTCGTGTGAAGATCGCACGGGGGAGAAGCGGTCTCGGGGTAACTACACGCGGGGCAAAATTCCACGAAGTGCGTCCTCCAAGTTCCGCTTAAGGGAGCCTAACATCACGCGAGGGCGGCAAGAAACATTGAAAGCATCTAGATTGAAGGGAGCACAGAACATCACGGCCCCCACGACTGGCGCTTACTGGACAGCTCTGGGCGTTTACAAGATAGCCCTGCCTCGTTCGAGTCCTCCATAGTCGTGTTTACTGCACGGTCTCGCTTGTAGCTCTTTTTTCCAGAAGGGAGGGGGAGGGGGTGGGGTCCCCCTGGTAGGAGGACCAATCCCGTCGAAGTGGGAATTATCCGGGCAACCTGGTGGCAATCCCAGCTACGACTGGAGTTACAGTGACCAGCCCCGGCTCCCTTCACAAGAAAAGTACGTCTTGAATAATCGCGGGCCCCCAAACGGTGTGGTGACCACACCGTGCGGTGAGTCAGTGGGGATTCGGGGTCACCGCACGGTTTTGGGACTCGAGTTCCTCTCCGAGGATGTCTCGGGCGACAGGGGCCTCCAGGGTCCCAAGACCGTGCGGTGACGGACCGTGCGGTGAGGTTTCCTGGGGTTCCGAGGTCACCGCACGGTCTGTCACCGCACCGTTTCGGGACTCTCAAAATAAGCTCAGAAATTACATGGGCTCTTTGAAGGATGTCAATTTGGGTGTCCCGTCGTACAACGCTGGTATTGGTTAGTTTTTTCTGCGTTCCCTTTTGAGTCGCGTTGTTATCACCGTTGCGATGTTGACCAATTTTCACATAGTTGTCTTTGGACGCCCCTGCCTTAGATATGGCCGTTGGCTGAGCTCCATACACGACCCGGATGAGTTTTTGAATCTCGGCGATCGAAGGCACTCCAACGCGCGAATTGCTGTACTCAGCGAGCGAACACGCTTCCTCGAAGTGCACATGATCATCGCTCAAGCTCGAGCCAGCGAAGCGAAGCCAAAGGTACACTGACCACTCGAGCCAACGAACACACGCCGCTCCACGGGCGCCTCGGGCCACGGGCCCTGGGGCCAGAACGCGCGAAGCGTCAGGGTCAGCGTCGAGCGGCCACGGTGTGCTCCTCCTCCTCCCCCTCCCCCTCCCCCTCCCCCTCCCCCTCCTCCTCCTGCTCCTGCTCCTCCTCCTCCTCCTCCTCCTCCTCCTCCTGCTCCTGCTCCTCCTCCTCCTCCTCCTCCTCCTCCTCCTCCTCCTCCCCCCCGCCTGCCTTCGGACACTACGTGCGCACGACCGCGGCACGGTGTGCTCGGCCTCTCGGGGCGAGCGCGGCTCCCAGCGAGCAGGGCGGAAACCACGGATGCTTGTGAAGCGCGAGTGTGTCAGCAAATTTTGCGGGACATTTCTCCTCTTTATTTTTCTGTTTTTTTCTTCATTTTATTCTTTTTTGCTTTTCTTTTTTTTTTCTTTTTTTTTCTTTTTATAAGCTGTGCCTTCTTTCCTGTTGTCTTTTTCTTTTTTGTTATTTCCACTTTTTTCTGTCCCTTATTTTTTTTTTTTTATTGCTTTTTACTATTCTTTTTTTCTTTTTTTTTTTTCGTCATCTACTTTTCATCTTGTCTTTGCTGTTTGTTTCTTTTTTTCTTTTTTTACTTTTCTAACTACTCCACTTTTTTTTTTTTTCTGTTTTTTTTTTTTCTTTTCTTTTTTCTCTTCTTCTTCCCGCAGGAAGCCCGAGGCCGCCAGCGCCTCGAAGGCGTATACAGCAGGAGGTGAATTCCGCTTGCTGGAAGACCCAACCGTATGCAGTTGTGAATGCCGCAGTTGCGTTTGGCTTCGCACCCGTGTTAGGTCGGGCGTCTCTTCCTACAGGCGGATTGAGGACGACAGATAATACATAAAAGCCAGACAACATGCACAGTCAAGAAACCGTCCCCAGATCTTTCTTGACCACTCTCTAGCACTCCTCAAAAAATCAAACAATACACCAGAGACGAACCCAATCAGTGGACGGTTTGATGAGATCGATGGTGAGATCGATCGATTGAGATGATTAGAGAGATCGATCTGAGGTCGACGCATCGTGGGACCGATAAAGAGATCAACAAGGAGATCGACCGAAATCGGGCCGGAACCAATAACCAGGAACCCGGGAACCTGGAACGGGGAGCCCGGGAACCCCAGCTTGCTACCAAAATCCGCGGGAACGTTCGCCACATTTTTCCATCTCCGACCCCCTCAGAGCAAGCACTGATTGGGGAAAAGCACATCTCTTTAGTACTCTTAAGCCGGGCCTGTCTCCCTACGGGGAGATTTTCTACGAAAAATGCAGAATACCCAAAACATAGTCCAAGAATAGTCCAAAAATGGTCTGGGGACTATTCTTAGGGGGGGTAGTTTTTTGACCTTGTAT